GTATACCTGAAACACAGGTGGCTGAACAGACTAGTAGTTGAATTAAGATTCCCGCTAAGAACAAGCATGAGAAATATGCCAATTCTAAATTATTAAAGCATGTCTTAGGCAAGCAATGCATTTGAATTAGCACTTGTACAGATGAGTAGACAAATATACTCTCAGTTGCAGTGGAATTTTGTGCGTGATCTGAGAAGAAATCAGTAACTAGAAAATCTTCAGCAGGACTCTGTCGTTTTCAACTGCTAATAAAATTGAACTTCAAAAAAATGTCCAATCATTGCCAATGAAGATTAATACAAAATTGAGTTATGCCTTTAGTGACAATACCGGTTTCAAATCTTTCACAATAGGCATAAAAGAGGCATCAGGGCAACACTAAGTAGGATTAATCAAGGTTTTGGACAAAAGTTAGTGTAATGGGAAGGACTTTGAGCGGATGCTGGTGTCTGTGTCTCTCTCCACTAATTCTCCACTTTCCCAGCCAATTTAATCTGTGAAGCTACTACATTGCCTTGCAGCCTTTATCATTGGGGTGACAGCTACAGTGTCCCCCACTTGCTGGGAAAAAATGGAACCGAATGAACACAAAGGCACCAAAGAAGAGGGTAGTCCGAATTAAAGCCAGACCCTGACAAAGAAGAACAGGGCACAAGATATTTGCAGGAGATACGATGAAAATGTTCCTTGGTATTTTTGGTATCATTTGATGTTGCACATACTTAGCATCACAAGTCTGCCATGATGTTGGTGTATTCCTTTCCATCCTCTGCCAAATATTGATTACACAGCAGAAGAGGAAGTTGGAATCTTAAAAAATTTTATATACTTTGAAAGGAAATATTGTAATATAATTTTATCAAAATCAGAGCAGGGGACAAAATCTACTCAAAAACTGAGCATAGCACTATTGTTTTTTCAGTGGTGTTTCACATTTGTTTGCTTTAAAAGCCCAATTATTTTTCTTCCTAGTAACCAGATTCAAGAAACAACCCATCCAAACTTACAATCTGTGCAGCTAAAGCATTTTCTTACCATCTTAAATACAAATAAAATTCCTGAGGTTGGGGAGATTTTAAATGTTTTTAACATCCAGTGTGAGTGCTGTATCACCAGAGACGGTTATGAAACCGTCATTAACATGTATATTAAAAAAATCTGTGTTTAATTTCCAATTTATATGATAATTTGTATTTATTTTTAAAAAACAGTGGGTGCCACTGTGTTCTCTGAAGAACCTAACTTCTTGGTGCATATTTTTCTCCCTGAAAAAGTAGCAAGTTAGGAGTAACTTTCAGAATTATATTTCCAGAATTTGCACCCTAATTTCTGTCAAGTCCCAGATCAGCTATACTAAAAGTGGATTATTCTTCAAGTCATTGCCCTTGAACAGGAAAATCAAGACTTTGAGACAGAGCAGCTAGGTTTTTTCCTACATTTGAACTCCCAAAACACTGGATACTGGGCTTCCAGTCTGGGGAACCTGTACAAAATAAGCTTCCTTCATTTTTTGTCACTTCTGAAGAACTTGATTCATTACCAACAATTGGGCTGTATTAGTGAGAGTGAAGCCAGGACGCTCTGTCTGGCATTTGTGAGATGACATCCAAGTTGTGCATCTGGTCTCAGCCCCCCCAGTAGAAGACAGACACTGACACACTGGGCTGAGTCCAATCAGGACTACCAAGATGGGAGGGCTGGAGCAGGTGACATTCGGGGAGAGGCTGTGAGAACTGTGTTTGTTCAGCCTTAAGAAGAGAGGGCGAAGGAAGGATCTTATTGTTGCCTACAACTGCCTAAAGACGGTATAGACAGAGAGAGGCTCTTCTCAGATATAAGACAAGAGGCAAGAAACAAGTTGGAAAATGGGAAATTCCAATTAGATATAAAGCAGGTTTGTGGGGGTTGATGTTTTTTTGTGGGTTTTTTTTGTTGTTGTTCTTTTTACTATAAGGGTGTGGCAGGTTTCCTGGGTTGTCAATTCTCATAATACCTTGCCCATTTTGCTTTTATCTTCTACAGAATCTATACTGTGAAAGTTATTAAGAAGATGTCCAGAAAGGAAGCATCATGGCCACTAGACAGCTTCTTCTGAGAAACATCAAGAGAAGTCTAGAGCTAACACATTAGCAGGAAACCAAAAGATCATAGTGGTATCATCAACTTTAAAGGAAGCAATTTCCTTCAGATAATCTGCATTAACATCAAATTCCCTTTGCTCTGTGAAGACTAGATGAACATTCTTTGGGTACAATAAAATGTTTTCCAAAATACTGCAACTCCTAATTCAGATGGGGAAATATTTAGGGGGAGTGAGAGAATGGTGAGTCTCCATTCAGGAAAATAAAATACATCATCAGGTCAACTTCTGTGGGATTTGTTAACTGCCTTTGAAACAGCTTACTAGAGCTACTGTATGGGATGATTATCCCTCATTGCATTTAAAAAAAAGTCTCTGTAATTTATATTGAAATTGATGCAGTTAATGTTGTTACACAAAGCAAATCCTGAATTTACAACATGGTCTAATACAGGTTGTACCTTCACCTACATCCTCCATAAGTTTGGTTAACATCTTTAACATTATGCTCAAGTACTAGGCAATTACAGAAGAAATGCTGAAATTAGAACAAATATTGCATTCTGTTATGACAGTTCTCAACAAGTATACACAAATATTTGGTTCCTGGACCTTAGGTCAATCGCCCAATAGATGCTAAATTCCTCCACTTCATAGTTTCCTTTGCAGAGTGATGCTTTCTACACCTATCACTCACTGTCTCCTTAATTTTCTTGAACGATGAAATAAAAATAGTACAATTCTTGCCATCACCCTTCTCTAAGTGTAATGTCCAAGGCTAGATGGAAGGCTAGGGTTCAAATCTCCTTCTTGCCTAAGCTTCTGGGAAGGCTCAACGGCCTCATCTAGTTACCTAAATGCTGTGCTAGAATCTACCCGACTCACCCCACAAACTCACTTGTCATTCTGATGCTCACATCTATACCTCACACAATATAAGGTGCTCTTCCTGAATGACCAGGAACGTAGGTAGCATTTACAAGACAGAGAAATGTATTTCTTAGGACTTTCAATTGTCATGTGATCACAAAGATTTCAGATTAGTGGTTTTTTCCTTTTTTTTTTCCCTGGGACCACCAATAAAGGATATATCTGTAGTATTTATGCTATCACAATAAACTATATGCCACAGATATGATTTGGACTTTGTGGCAATGCTATGGCCTTTATGAATTTTTTTTTTAATTAACTCCCGAAAGATAAAGGCTTTAAAGGGCAGATCTACTGTTTTAAGCAAGTTTTAGACATAATTCAGGATCCTTACCTTGAAAATGCACACCAAGATATAAGTATTATCTTAGCTAAAGATTAGCATCCTAATTAAGTTTCTGACTGGACCTATCTCACAATGTGTAAGTTTACTTATTACATTCTAAAATACTGCCCCATCACTAGAAAAGTCTTGATGATGCTGTTATTTTTACTACCAAAGTTCCTTTCTGTAGTGTATCAATTTTCAAATATAAAAGATAATGCAGAAAAATGAAGGCTTCTCCATGTAGCCAAACCTCTTTTAGACCGTGAATAATGATGAGACCAGTTCTGACTAGAAACTCATAAAACATCAATTAAATAAAGTAATAAAGCTACTTTGAGAAGCACTGGCATGTTTTTGAACATAACAGATTTGAACATAATAGCTTTTCCATTGAGATGTGGTAGGACTTCATTGCAGGGAAGAACCATATCACAAACATGGTTAAATAAAAAACGTAAAATTTTTCTAAATATCGTATCAACTGGGCCAAACTCTTGGGCATTCTGCTAAATCTTTGACAAAACACCCTCCTAACTGATTTGCGTGTGGTGCTGCCGGCAGCAGAATGAAGCGGAGTCCATCACAGGAAGACAGAAACACAAAGGGCTTCCTGTCCAGTCCCCTCCTACTGGGGATATGACATTATGTTGTTTCCTTCATAATCACGAAGCACTCCGTTTTCAAAGTAATACAACTAGAAAGTTCATCTTTCTTTAACACTGGCAACTTCAATTAATAAAAAGTATTTCAACAGCAATTACATGAAAACCTCATATAATGGCCTAGTACTTCCCTATTTTTATTCATGCCACGTAAGACAGCAATTATATTTTTTCACAGCTGCATCACACTGGCAGCTCCATAGTCTTTCTGGAACCCACTAGTGTATGTCCTCTGTCTTTGTTGGTTGTTTTTAAGTGATGAGTCCTCAGCTTACATCAGGGGTTATAGCTTTTGAGTGCATGACCTTACATTTCCTACTATACAAGTTCATCACAGTCTTCAGGTCATTCAGCTCTTTCAGTCCACTAAACTGATCTACTACTCTAAACAGAAAGTCGAAAAGTCACTGCTTTCCTTTGTCTTGAAACTCACATATTTCCACATTTAGAAGCCATAAGAATTCAAAACCTGCCCATGAACTTCAGGGTCACTATCTCCAGGAAAGTGAGTATCTGTCTTTTAGAAAAGACTTATTTTACCACAGAAGAAAACTGTGTAAGAAAAGTAGTCACACAAGTACAAAAATATATGCTAGCAAAACTAGATAATAGCATGATTTTTCTTTTTTCTTTTATACAAGCTAACAAAAGGCAAACTCTCTGACGCAAGGCAAAATGAATTTTTCCACATGAAACAATGAAATGTTTAAAATAGCCTGACATTCAAATATTAAACTCAGGCTACCATAAGCAAATAGTTATAATGCCTTGTTGTCTTCAACTCCATTTCAATGTTTTAGATTTCATATACGTTAATATTAAGATGCTTAAGATATGTCAAAGTATTTTGCCAAAACAAATGGTACGTGTTGTTTTTATGCAGAAATTCCTTAAGCAGCTATAAAAGTGCTTAGGAAAAAGAGATCTCATACAACAAAAGGACACTGTATTGACAAAGCATTACCATCAGAATGTATACATGAAGGAGGAAAATACTTACAGATTTTTTATGTCTACTGCTCCTCGGAATGCCTTCCTTGGTATCGCTTGAATCTGATTTTCACTAAGATCACTAAGGAAAAAAAAAATTAAACTTTAAATCTGCCATATATATTTCTTTCTGTGTATAACAAAAAGAACACGTAAGGAAATAGTTTCAGCCATTACAGTTCAGTCAATATTTCCAATGAAGCTTATTTTATTACCTTAACTGATTTGTAATTGAAGAAAAAGAAGCAGCAATAATACTCAAATTAGTTTATCTGTGTTGCACTAAGTAGCTCCTTTACAAAACAATAATATATATGCCAAACAAAAAGCAGAAGCATTACATAATTTAACAATGAAGGCCAAACTGATTTAATTTTTAACTGATTGATTCTACTTTTCAACCCATTCCAAACCCATGACATCAAATGTGTCAGAGTATGTTCAGCTTTATGCAAGGAAGACTGAAAACAAGCAAAAAGAAAAAGTAGCAAGCTGTTGAGAAACAACAACTATCAAGCTGTATAACGTTTGAGATCAATGTATTTCTGAATTTTGTTTCAGAGTGGCAAGCACCATATATTTTAAAAGAAGGCATTAAAAACCATCCTGCAGCAGTTTTGTAATGCTCCTCCCCAAAATCCCTGCATGGCCAGCTGTACCAGGCTATCTGAAACTAGTATCTTTTCCAAAAGAGAAATATTCATGAATAATTTTTTGCTATCGGTTAAATAACCAACACTTTTTCTGAAATTTAGAAATGGCCTTCAGAGTTCCATATTGGAAATAAAACCTAGAGAACTGAAGTAGACAGTAGCAGAGGAGACAGGGGGGGGGAAAAAAAAACAAACAGAAAAAACCCCAAACTAGAATCCAGGGCCTTTCACGTATGCTGTACCCCATTAACAAGTAATTCAGTGCAGTAGGAGACGATCAGTCGATTAAAGTTGTTAGTGCCATATCTACACAGTACGCAGTCTGAAGGTTTCACTTCAGACTACAGTTTGGTACCCTGGACCAAACATACCTACCACGCATATGGTTCACAGATGTCTGAAAGCCTTCAAAGGGACCTATCTACCTTGTAGCCTTAAAATTATGAAATCAGATCTTCTTTTGGAGGCCTTCAGAGATGCATATATCTATAGACAACATATACACAAGAACACAAGAAAGTATATGAAGAGGCTTGCTTGAGCATCTGAATAAAATTTAGAAACAAATCAGATGCATACAAGCTGTATCTACACTAGGACTTTCACTCAGTCTGCAGAGCAGAACTAGATTTCATTTTGCTAAGACCAAATTAGGACCTTCACTCCAGAAGCACATCAAATGTACTCCAACCCCTAACAGGAGAAGTAAAATTGCACAATGTCTTGCTTTTTAGAGACATCTTTTAGATTACTTTTTTAGAGACAGCTTTTAGGAGAAACATTGCAAAATGGTGCACAGAAATAAGAGATCTAGCTCAGATGAAGTGAATAAGCAAGAATCATTTAGTTGATTAGATACAAACAGTCATGTTTTTGATATATTCTTTCCTTAAAACGTAATCTAGCATGAGCTCATGTTTCCAGTTATTAGTAATCACTCCTGGAGATCTCTTTCAGATATATGAACTTAAAAAAAAAATAATTTGAGGACTTTATAAAACCCCATGCTGCCCGAGTCTAACAAAATTTATATCAATATAATCCTTTTGAAAATAATTCTACATACATTGACAGCAACTTTGTTTTATCCAATTCACTGTTAATTTATGGAAAATCACATTCTATTTACTAAATCTTTCACAGTTCGTGCATCTGACTGCACTGCAATATCTTGCAAGGTATATTTAAAACTAGACCCAATTTTACTATTATTAACCGTGTGTGAAAAAAGAGAATCTGTGAGCTGTGATTTAATTTTCAAGCCACCTAAGTAATCTTGAAATGGGATATGACTGTACTGCTCTGACAATAAATTCAACGGCAATGAATGAAAAAGCAGCCTTCAGCATTTGTTACGGCAACATGATTTAACAGCCTACTTCCTTTAAAAAAAATCCATTATAGGTATAAACAGCAAATATCTATATTTACACTTCTGTTTAATTGACTAAAAGATTTTACCTATATAAAAATTGTGCGTAAAGTGGTTAAGTTAGCAGTAGTGATTTGTATCATGATCAATGATTAGTTTATAATACAGAAATACGTATATATCTATGTAAACCACTGCCATACTCATAAATACATACTGCAGGAGGTAATGGGTAATGGTGCATTACACTTTTTATGACAGTTAATAGAGTATAATCATTTTCCATTTTATATAATTAAAAAAAGTGGAAGATGAACAAGATTGAGACAATATGTAAATTATTTTTAAAAATCTAATAAAAAATATCAATGGTCAAAATCTTTCCTTCCTTGACTACACGCAAATCTTAGCATGAATGCAAGGACTTACAAGTAACAGCTATTGAGCCAGGTTCCTCAATAAACAATACACTGAGATTGTATGTGTGCATATGTATGTCTGTGTGTATCCACATGTGAAGGAGAGCAAACTAATAGCATGCTAGATTTACCGCTGGGTCCACACAGTCAATACCACTTCCATGTAGCACAGGCTCATGTAGACTAAAGTACACTGTTCCCTGCTAATTTTAGCACATTTGAAATACGAACTACTTCATTGCAAAGGCTCCCAACCTTCCCATGCAAGGCACTGTTTAAAGCATCCCTCTAAATGTGGAGAGCTAACTAAGGCTGGCAAATGTCATTTTCCAAGAGAAATTTTTTTGCAATGCATCTGCTGGTTTGCAAAACTTTCTTGGAATTGTTTGTGTAACAAAGTGTAAGTTATTCATTCATTCCTTCACTGCAAAATTCTACCTCTCTCATAAAAACTATGATTTTCAACACACAATTTATGCCTACTTATAGCCGGAAAGTTTTAGTAATTATTTATTGATTGTTTCAACTTTTCATCTGCTCAGTCTAAAAAGGTTTCCTTCTAAAAACCTTGAGGGGCTTAAACAAACATTCAACTTTTTCTTCTTGCATAAATTACACCTACATTTCACACTGCAGACCTAGGACTCAGTAAGAAGTTGCTGTGTGGTCTTTTTTTAATGATGTTTTAACTCATTCCACTGCAATTCTTAGATTGCTCACAAAAAAGGTCACAAGCAGCACAGGGTGCACTGTGACTTTCTGGGGAAATGGGGCAAAAACCTGTTTTGTAGATAAAACCAGACAATTTTGCAGGCCATTATGTTACATTGATTTGACTTTGCAGCTTATATTCTGCAGTGAAAAAAGGTGCAAACCTCCTTGTCAGCCTGATGGTCATTTTTTTCTTGCACTATGAACTGTGTGAAATTCACCTCCCATTTCAAAAAGAGGCCGCATTTGACTACTGAGTATAATTTATGATGGCACTTGATACCCCTAAAATGAAAGAGGCTCTAAGCATTTCAATAAAAATTAAGCAACTAAACAACAGAACATCCTACTTTTACAAGAACAAATCTGTATTTTTGAAAGAAAAGGCATGAACTTGTCTTCATATTTGAAACCAGCAATCTGACCAAGATACTTTCATTGGAACAAATTATTCTTCATTATTATTACAGCCCAAGACCTTACATCAAAACCCAGCATACCTCTGGAACAGCAGAATTGATTAAAAATGTTTTGTATACAGCCAAGGCTATCCCACAGATTTTTTTTAAATAAAGCACAATGGTTTAGTAAGATGTTTTGATGAATTCATCTTTATGCATTTTCTAGTTGTCTTACAGGCTTCTTTCAACTAAATTGTTCTTGACTCTATTATATCATTCCTAGAGAGATATATTCCAAATTATTAAGTCTGAAGTGGAGTAACTTAGACATTGACCCTTCGAGAAAATTCCTTAGTGCAATGTTGTGGGCTTCATTCATTGCATTCACTGGCTGGCAGAGCACCTTCAACCACCTCTCATGAAGACCCATGAGGCCTTCAACGTACCTCCCTGCTCATACATTACGAAACCAGTGTGTGGGGCCAGAACTGCCATATACAACTTCAGTCTCTTTTAGTTTGAGACATCCTCAAGCCAAAAGGTGGCACAGTAATATTGGGGTTAAATAGATTTTCACACAAAAAGCCATCTGGGCAAGTTAGGCTGGCAGCAGCTGAAAGAGGCTCTTTAGAGAAGGCACAGATGAGCACCAGTGTTGCTCTAGGTGCGACTGCACCATCCTGTTTCTAGTCGTTTGTTTCAGATATGTTTAAGCTGAGTATGTGTCAAGCATTCTTCTGAGTTGTAATATTCTGCAACCCCACGTTCTCAAAAGCAAAACAAGAAAACCAAATCCATATACCAAACCAAGCTGAAGATACACAGAGGAGAATGCACAAAGATTTCTGAGTTTTTGCCCAACTATAGTGATTCTTTGAAAAATTTGTATACTTTTTTTTTCCCCACAGGTCTGGTGTGCGTTTCTAAATCAGAGACTAAATACGTTGCACCTAAGTAACTTTTTTTTTTTTAATTAACATAGTCTATCCAAGTATTCAAACTTAGCAATAAAAAAAGAGAAGTACTATACCCTCTATGAGATCCATGATCAAGTAAGTCCTGAAATTATTGTGCTTACATAAAATATAATTTCTTTCTAAACAAACCGGTCAAGGCAATTTACATGCAATGTGTACTGATAATCACATATGCCTCAGCTCTTAAACCGATTTCCAAAGATTAAGGATTTAATTCTGATATTTTCAATGACACTACAGTAGAATTTGTCTAATTTGAAATTATGCCTGAAAGAATGTAGATATCTGTATTTCACAAACTGTTGAAATAGGAAAAAAAATTAATAACAAAAAAAAAATCAAACCTCTCACAAATCACCTCCCCCAAAAATTCAGCTTTATTTTATGTATTCTTTTTTTTTTTTTTTTTTCTCCAGAATACATTAGTAATCATGATGCATTATGCTTTGTGGAAATAGCAGAAAGACTTTGCCAAAACCTTGCTACTACTGAATCCTTCCTAAGAACAGGATGGAAATGGTACATTTCTATTTATCATATTTACTGGTT